ACATATATATGTTTACATAATATACATCCTTCCATACATAAGAAATGTCCAGTAGAAAGATATTTTCTACTTCAAATGTGCAATAAGTGCTATTTCTCTCACTCATTCATTACACATACACATTTAAGACATGGTCTTGAACTCACCATGTAGTACAGGCTAGCTATGAACTTAGGAGCTTTCTGCCTTGGCCCCACCTCCACCCCCACCCCCGAGTGCTGCCACCATGCCTGGATTCCACAGATATTTGTGAAGTGCTTGTATTTTTTAGAGATTGAGTTTATTGCTGAGAGCTTTGATAATGGAAAGGAAGACATGAGGTACAGAAAACATGTGTAGTCCAGTTGATGGGTATGAAGAATTAGATGAATAACTCATCTTAGAAATTTGATGACTTTATTTTCAGAAGCATGAAGAGAACAGTTTTTCTTTTCCTACCCATTTGCTTTCTTTGATATCCCCCCAATGAATAACCATCCTTATTCCAAGACCAAGCCATCCTTAAAAGTTTTTTGAGACACATCTGGAGTGCTGGGAATAGACTTATTAAACCATGTCCAATTTATGCAGTGCTGGGAACTGAATCCAGGATGTCAAGCATGCTTGGCAAACCCTTTATCAACTGATATACATCCTGATCTCCCCTCACCCCATGCCAAGCCACTATTACATACCAAATTTAGCAATTTAGTACCATATGTCTTCCCTTCTTCCTCTCACATCATTTATCTTCTTGCTGGTTTGTTCCCATCAGGATAAAAACAAATGACATATCTCTCATCTTTAAAATGAGAATACATTCCAAACCCCCAAGCCTTGTTTAACTACCAATTTCTCTTATTGAGAACCATTCTCCATGAAAGAGTTGCCTCCACTGCTTCAATTCCAATGATTCTTCCTCCTCCACCTCTCCACAGAATCACTCTTCTGAAGTCATCAGTGATCCTCATCTCGCCACATCCCAGAGCCTCTCAACTTCGGCACTGTTAACATTCTGGGGCCTTGGAAAACCTTTGCTAAGGCAAGCAACCCCATGTCTTGTAAGGTGTTATCTAAATCCCTAAGTGGATGCCATAGTCATTGTCTCGATAGTGACAATTAGAATTAGCTTCCGGCATTGATGACTGTATCTGGGGTCTAATCACTCAGAATTGAGATGTGGTGTTGTCCTTACTTTCACCAGCATGTACCACAGTCAATCGCTTACTGTTCCTTTTTTTTTTTTTTTTTTTTTTTTTTTTTTTTTTTTTTTTTTTTTTTTTTTTTTTTTTTTTTTTTTTTTTTTTTTTTTTTTTTTTTGGTGTTTCGAGACAACGTTTCTCTGTAGCTTTGGAGTCTGTCCTGGCACTAGCTCTGTAGACCAGGCTGGCCTCTAACTCACCGAGATCCACCTGCCCCTGCCTCCTGAGTGCTGGGATTAAAGGTTTGTGCCACCACTGCCAGACAAAGCTTATCTTTTGAACCATTTTGCCTGTATAATTCCAGTGATATTAAGCACACTAATACCTCCTAGCTATTCAAACTCTTTCTTCTCATAATTTTAGTAGCAATATCCAGGCTTTCCTTCTGACTCGCCAGATGCCCCTCCTCAGCGATTCTTTTTTATTTTCAAGAAGTATAATTTTATTTTGGGAGATTTTTTTTTCAGATTTTATTTATTTTATTGAGCTCTCCTCAATAATTCTTGCTGGCTATGTTTCAGTGTCTAAAGAACAACCATTGAGCACCTCTGGGACTCAGAACTCAAGCCTCATTTCTGCATCTATTTTATTTCTTAGGTAATCCCATAATCTAAATGACATTTAAGCCAATAACTTTCAAAGTTGTGTCTTCAACACATCTCCTCGGAGCTTCAGTCATGCATTTTTAGTTGTCTACTCAACCTGCACACTTGTGGTTGAATAGACTCAGCATACTCCCATCCTGCTAGCAATAACTTCCGTTGCTTTCCAAGGTTTCTCATTTTAGTTAAACACACCACTACTCAGAAGACAATCTAGACGTGATCCTTAATTGTCTCCTCTCTCTAGTATCTCCTATCCAAATACAACACAACTATAACTACTTGGTTTTACTCCTGTTGCTCATCTAAATTAAAGCCAATCTACAGATGCAGTCATCAAAATGGTCTCAACATGTCATCCTCTATCTCCTCTGGTTGTTCAGCTTCAGTATTCTGCACACAGCACTGAGAGGATCATATACATAACTGTGAATGGATGTGTATGTGTGTGCACACATGGTCACACACATGCCCCACCGTTCTAGTAGCTGCCTTTCTCACTTGGGATTGAATCCTAACTTCTGTAATCCTGTATTCACTGGGGTCTGCCAACACTTTGACATCTTAGATCCTAGTGTCCATCTCTTTCACTTTGCTGTGGCCACAACAGCCTTGCTGTTGCTCCTCAAGGCTTACTTTGTTGCTACTGCAGGGCCAGTGCTCAGTACATCTGGTGTTTCCTCAGCCTGGGGTACGTGTCCCTGGGCTGTCACATGATAGATTTTCTCCCGTTATTTCTAGCCAAGCTATAATTTCACCTGATCATACCATGGAATAAGTGCCTCTCTCCACAGATGGCTTTTTAAATTTTAGGTAGGTTTATTTATTTATTCAGAGAAGGTCTCACTATGTAGCTCCGACTGCCCTAGAACTCTCTCTATAGGCTGATCTCAAGCACACAGAGATCAAGTTACCTCTGTCCCCCAAGTGCTGGGTTTAGAGCCATGTATCACCAATCCTAGGTTGATTATCTGCAGTTTCTTGTGTCTCTGTGGGTATGTGCACATGACCACGGTGCCCATGGTAGGCAGAAGAGGGTATAGAGTTCTCTGTAGCTGGAGTTATAGGAGATTGTGATCCAACGTGCGTGTTGGGAACAGAACTCAGGTCCTCTGCAAGAGCAGTCCGTGTTCCCACTGTTAAACCAACTCTCCAGAGCCTGTCTGCATGACTTCCCTCCCACAAATAGCTAAAACCTGTTTGATATCTTAATGTACATTTATTTGTGTACTGTCCAGTTTCCCCAGTAGTAATGTAAACTCCATGGGTGAAAATACCATGGTAACTGCAGGAGGAAGTGGCTGTGTTCCATAGAGAGAAAAGAAGCAAACAATGACAGCTACAAATGTTTGGTTTCTTGAGTCAGGGCTGAGAATCACTGCTCTAAGTCATGGTATATACATTGATACTAGACCATAGACAAACACTTTTTATTCTAATTTTTATTGTATTGAAGTTCAGTATTTGTTGTTTGCACAAAAAACTGGTTCCTGTTACTGAAATTATGTATATATCACACACACATATGTACTTTAGCTTAGCTAAATCTTTAAATCAAAAGGCAAAATTACTTAATTCTTCACTGATGCAAATAATTATCATAGGGAGAAACAAAAAGACAAACAATTTGTTTTCTTTGATGTTGGTGGGGAGGTAGGACATATTACCTGTGCTTGAATTTATTATGATCAATTTACTTAAAACAAGTTCTCTCCCTAGGAAAAGAACTCATTTCCATTATCAAAAATTTCAGCGACTATAGTAATTGAAAAACAGAAATACTACCAATAACGCCTCCTTTAAAACTAAGCATAATATTTGTTTTAGTATTTTTTATGAGACTCCTAAGGGGAACAGGAGGATTAAAGATGAAATCATGCTAACAAATGATAAGCAATCTATTCTAGTTATTTTGCTATCACTTCTCACCATGATCAATACCGAGTTCCCAACAGAATGCCTTATCCGCTAGAACAACTGGTGTGCTCTATGCTTCCCTAACCTGACCCTGAGCAATGGAATATGGTATGATTCGGTCACGCAGGCTCAGCTCAGGGACTGATGGAGACCTTAGACGTGGCATATGTAAGTGTTGAATGAATCACAGCCTGAATGATCGGGTGATGAAAACCTACTGTTGTCAGAAGGATTCTGAAAAGTTCAAGTGCAGGTTCCAGTGTGTTATGTGGGAACAGCTATGACTTTTGTTTAAAGTCAGAAGGTGGAGGGCTCTGTAATTGATGTGTTATGAAACAAGAAGAGGTTACACTAATTCTACTGATGATGGTGGCATACACAGAAACCATAAAAGACCTTATGAAGGAAGTGCATGCCAAAGAATGAGTGTGTCATTGACATGTGGATGGGTTCAGGGAATTTAGGTGAAGGAACAAACCGAACCATTTCTAAAGCCTGAAAGGGAAGATTTGCTTAAGGAACAGTGAGTAGTAGAATCTATTTCTTAAAATGGACGGGGAGTATAGTATTGTATAAGGGGAGCTACAGCAGCTAGCTCACCAGATTGAGAAAAGCTGTATTTTTTTCATGCCCAGGAAACTCATTGAAAATATAACATCTATGAAATCCGTGGAAATTGTGTCTCTGTGACTATTGCTGAAGCCTGGCCGAGGATAGGTATAACTGACAGGCACAGCCCTGCCATGTAATAGAAAGAGAACAGAATAAAACACAAGGGACTGGAGTATACCAGGCCTTTTCTTTTAGGCCAGCAACCAGCTCCCAAATCATGACACAGAGACTACATATTAGTTTTGAATGGTCGGCCTAGCTCTTGTTCTTCTCTTCTCCCCCGAGCCTAGATTTCTTCTATTTATTCTCTCTGTCTTCCAGTCCTGCCTATCCTTTGTCCTGCCTATCTATTGCCCGATCAGCTTTTTTATTAGACCAATCAGGTGCTTGAAGCAGGCAAGGGGAAGTAAATGCAGCATAAACAAAAGCAACCTATCTTTACACAGCAAGAATAATATTCTGCAGCATAAACAAATGTAACACATCTTTACCTAGATAAAATAATATTCCATAACATTGGAGTAAGCAACAAAGATGTCAATGGTGTTGGTTGGAACACATTGTGATACATCACGATTAGCAGAATAAATTAGGATCTGGGAGAGGAGTCTGCAGGTGGAGGTGCAGGGAACCAGAGGATAGGAGGAGCCTGAGAATGAGCCTTGCATGACCAACACCGAAGTCAGTTGAAACATGTTGGTGAGATGGTACAAAGGAGGTGGGAATGCCTTAACTGTATGTGTATTGTTAGGCCTGAGGACCTCTTCCATCTTTGTCAAGGGGAGTGTCCAAATACATTTTTTTTCTTTTTTTATATTTTTATGGTTTATTTAACTTTATTTTTATGTGCATTGGTGTGAAGGTGTCAGATCCCCTGCAACTGGATATTCAGACAGTTGTGAGCTGCCATGTGGGTGCTGGGAACTGAACCCGGGTCCTCTGGAAGAGCAGTCAGTGCTCCCAACCACCGAGCCATATCTCCAGCCCCCCCCCCAAATCCATTTTAAGCAGTGTGTTAACCTCATTTCTTTGAATTCTCTTTTGGGCACTATAAATAGATGCTAAGGGCATTCACCAGCTATAGGATAAAGAAAGATGCTCTACCCTACCTCTCTCTGGGCAGTGGAGGGAAGAAAGCTGAAAAATAGGAGATTCCCTGCTTACACATCCACAAAATGGCCCCCTGCTGGCTACTTTTAACTGTCACCTTGACACAACCTCATGTCACCTGGGAAGAGAGTCTTAGGAATTGTCTAGATCATGTTGGCTTGTGGGCATGTCTATGGGTGGTTGTCTTGATTGTTAATTGGCAAGAGAAGACCCACACGGAATGGCAATATCTTTTCCTGGACTGGACCCTGAACTGTGTGAGAGGAGAGCAAGGTAGCTGACCACGGAGCAGCGAGCAAAGATGAGCTTGTTCTCTTTACTGTGGCTGTGCAGTGACTAGCTGTGCTCAGCTACCTGCACTGATGGACTTATGTCAGAATAGTATGCCAAGGGGAAAGGGTCTCCTCTCCTCTTTCTACATTGCATTTTGGCCAGGGGTATTTTATCATGGCACAGAAAGTAGAACGGGCCCCTGCCTGTAGCATCACTGGTCTTAGAAGAATGTCATCAGTGGCGTTATTTGAGGACATCTGGAAAAGATTTCTTTCCTATTCAAAAAACACCACCTTCATTGGACACAGAAGTGCCATAAATGACGCAAATTCTGTGAAGTATCTGGAAGATGTAAATGAAGTGTTCTTGTGTGAGGCAGGATGTTATGTATTAATCATTCGGTTTTCTTTAAGTGTCTCATATATCAAAGTGCTGAGTCTCTCATGCTTTAAGCTTGATCTCAGGTCTTTTCTCCTCCATCCATATTATCCCTTTTAGGCTCAAACAAAGACCAGGCCTTAAGAAGTAAGGAGGGCCTTTATTATCATATAATGACACTTGAAGTTGGTTCAGAATGGTTTACGGCAATATTACTCAGGGGACATTGAGCAATATCCCAGAAACAAGATCTTGACTATTTCCAAAAGGCCCAAATGTCAAGGACTCATCCCCAGAGTGCTTCTCTTGACAAGTGGCAGAATCTGAGGTATAGGGACTAATGAGAAGGCTTTGGACCTTGGAAGTTGTGTGGGCCACTGGACTCCTTTTGTTTTTGGCTGTGAAGTGAATGGTTTTTCTCCCCCAATAACTTTACCATGTTATGTTGTCTTACCATAGGCCAAGGTCATGGGAAAATAAATCTACAAACTGAAAAGATAAATGTGACCTGAAAGAAACTTTGCTCTTTGTTTGTTGGTTTGTTCGGTTTTTTTCAAAGCTGATATTTTCTGTGTAACAACACTAGCAATCTTTGAACTCACTCTGTAGACCAGGCTGACCTCGATCTTAGAGATCCACCTGTCTCTGCCTCCTGAGTGCTGGGATTAAAGGTCTATGCCACCATGCCCAGCCCCAGAAACCTTGCTCTTAATGTGTCGATTCTCACATGGCTCTAATGTAGTTCTAGAAAGCCAGTATACAGATGGAGGAGTTGCTATTGTGCCCTAGTATGGAGGATGCCTAGCATCCTACAAGGCACCAGCTCTTCTCAGTGAAGAGCTGTCAGTCTGAAAAAGCCCTGCCTACTGATGTTGGGAAATCTTGACTAGTGAACATTTCCTGTATCAGCTAAATAGTTTTGCTACCATATGGCAGGAAACTCTTAAAAGAGTGGGTTTGACACAGGAGGCATTTATGGGTCTTATTTTTTCTGGTAACAAAAGTCCAGAAGTAGTTAGCCTGCATCTGGTGTTTCGTTCAAGAAATTATTTCAAGATGTCTTCTAGTGCCCTACCCTCCATCTGTAACAGCTGACTATTTCATGAACGCAAGGTGGCTGCTGAGCCTCCAGACATGCCTGAGAATAATTAGGGAGCACACAAGGCAAATGACATGAAGCCTGTCCCCTTGTCAGAAAAACAATTTCCCAGAATCTCTACTTGGAAGGATTCTGCTGGTTTCCTTTCTTATTAGACAGAATAGAGTTTTGTGCAAGGGAGACTGGGAAAGTCAAAGCATCCGGTAGGAATACTGCTCCTGTTAACACTGAGCCTCTAGGATCCTGTCCCTGTTAACACTGAGCCTCTAGGATCCTGTCCCTGTTAACACTAAGCCACTAGGATCCTGTCCCTGTTAACACTGAGGCTCCAGGATCCTGTCCCTGTTAACACTGAGGCTCCAGGAATATTGTCCTATGAATACTGAGACTCTATAAGGATGACATAGCATGTGCATATTTTTGTAGACAACTGGTAGCTTCTGCCTTACCTACACACTTTGACATTAATTTTAGAAAGCAAAAGAGTCCTCATTTCTTTCAATAGAGGGATATTATGTGTCACTTAAGAGCAAGTGTTAATTTTAAAAAATGAGGCGGGAGGGGTGACTCAATGAATAAAAACATCTAATTCATAAGCATGAGGACCTGAACTCAAATTCCTAGAACCTGTGTAAAAAACCAGATGCGGTCACGCATGTGCCTGTCACCCCAGCACTAGAAGAACAATGGATGCAAAGACAGGATTGTTGGAGCTTGTTGACTCCCCGGTGTCGGAGAGGAACCTGCCTCAAAGGGTAAGATAAGGAGTGACAGTTCAGGACAACTGAGGTACTCCTCCGACCTCTGCACATGTGCAGCTACATACTATGATAGTGCACACCAGAGGGGCCGAGAAGCTGACCTCCAAATTTAGGTCATGTTGTACTCGGGATAGAAAGTAAACCTTCACATACATCTTCAGGGCACAGTGGTTTTATATCACCAAAGTTAGCTCTCTCTGGCTCACGTCGCCTGTTGTTATGTTACTGCCGATTCTGCTCTGTGCTGTGTTTATCATGGAACCTAGACTGAAGGAGAAGTCAACGTTTGCAAAATGACCCTTGGCCATTAGATATGACCATTGATAACAACAACAACAACAAAACCAACTCCAAAATCCATGTTACCACACATGATTTTCTTTTTACAGGTTCTGTTAGGATGTGATTTGTGTATTTTCCATATAAATTGTGCTGGCAGATGCAAGCCTTACGGCCTCCCTGACATCCACTAGAGCGACGATTTATAGGCCTTCCCACTGGGAGAAGGGATAGCACACACCCTCGTCCACAGCTAGTCTCATCCTGGTATGTAACACTTTACAATGAATTCCTTTCAGTTTGTTCCTCAAACCTCTCGAACTTTTAATGACAATATTGGCTATGAGGGATGGAGCAATTGCACCAAAACCACATCCAGGAAAAATGACAACCACAGCATGCCACTTCAGTCACTCTCCCAGCAGCCCTTTTTTTTTCTGGGTGCTAGGCTTTGTGTGAGCTCTAGTAGCTCCAGCTCCAGACACTGTCAAAGTAGTAACTAGAACTGTGGTTCTCAAACCATGGGTCATGATCCCTCTGGGGGGTTGCATAGCAGATATCTATAATATGGTTCATAACAGTAGCAAGATTATAGTTATTAAGTAGCAACGAAATAGCTTTACTTTGGGGGGCGGGGGTCACCGCAGCATGAAGAACTGTATTAAAGCATCACAGTATTAGGAGGACTGAGAACTACCGCCCTCGAATCTAGTATGAATAAGCAACATCCTAACAAAATGCATGGGTGGAGAAAAGAAACTCAGGCTGGAGGAAAGGAAATATTCCTGGGAGAGATGACCCTTGAAAAGAGACACACTTTATCTAGAGGAGTAAGACGAGACAGGAAACAGCTAGGGATAATTAATGGTAACCTGTTAGGACTTCTTCATAGTGGCTTAGAAAAAAAAGAAGACTAGTGTCAGTTAAGATTTCTACTCAGTACTGTTCAATGGGATGAGACAAAATAAAGATACAAGTTTCAAACAGTGGAGGGATAAGCCCAGCCCCTTAGGGGGCGTGTTCGCCTCTGGCGAATGTTTACTTATAAATCGGGGCGAGTGGGAGCCCGTTCGCCCTCTCTGCTTCCCTGTTTGTAGCGGGAACCTATGGTCCTGTAAGTCTATTTCCCCATTAAAGCTGTATATATTATTACAATCTGTTTGAATACATTTATGCCGTTACAAACAGGAAATCAAGCATTTGTATATGCTTTGCAGATGATTAAAGAGACTACATTTCACAGTTACAGTGACTTCACTGTATTTTTATATATAATTTCTCTCTATAAAATCAGCATATAAAGTTGAATTTTCTATGTTTGGATATCAAGCTCTTAGAATTTTTTTTCTTCAGCTTTAAATTGTTCTCACTGATAACAGGATAAAAACATCAGGTACCGACGCAGAAATCTAACCAGAGATGCCCAGGAACTATAGAGGAAGAAATATATGTAAACTGTAGCAACATCAAAGAAGACTTCAGTGTACAAATGAAGCTACTTTGTTTAAATGGTGGAAGATTCAATATTATCATGTCATTTTTTTCTCAAGTCAATGTAGCCACTCAGTGTGCTCATGGTGCCCTGGTATAATTTTCAACTTGACACAACTCAGAGTCACCTGGGAAGAGAGAGTCTCAGGTGAGAAACTGTCTAGATCAGCTTGTCTGTGAGCATGCCTTTGGAACATTTTCTTGATTGCCAATTGATTTAAGAGGGCCCAGTTCACTGTGGGTAGTTCCAACCCCAGGCGGGTGGGCCTTTGTTATATAAGAACACTAGCTGAGCATGAGCTAGTAAGTGAGCCAGTAGCATTCATGTATGGTCTCTGCTTCAGTTCCTGTAGACTGGAAGTGTGAGCCAGATAAACCCGGTCCTCCCCAAGTTACTTTTTGTTAGAGTAGGTTTTTTTTTGGC